ACAGTGTGGAATGGCCAATTATAACTCATTTGCACTGGGCTGGGCCTATGCTAGGCCACATGGTCTACGAAGGGGCCAGTATTGGCTGTTACTTGTTCATGTGGTCCATTGCAATAGACCACTGGGTTGGGCAACTTTCAAAATGGAATTTTTCCGTAACGTTACATGTTATGACCAAATTAAAGACATCATGGTGAAAGGGAAATCGTGCTCTTTCCAATGACATGTAAAAGTGAACTGTATCTTCAGTAGAAAAAAAGTTAGAAAATTGGATCACCAAGATGGCCGCCTTGAAATCGGGAAACTGAACTTCCCAATTTAAACTGACCAGTGTTACATAATACTTCTCGTCCCTGACGTCTATCTCGTTTGTGACCGCGGACCGCCGTCAACTCCACGGCCGATGCCAAATTCTCAAACTCCTATGCAGTAAGTACAAATTCCCATCGGGACCATCGTTCCACAAAGTCATGCTCTCCACATTGTCACTACTTTCTGGAGAATCCTCGCCGAAGGAATGAGAAATTCCCCTAGAATTAATAGTATCAAGGTCCCCAAGCACGTATTTCAGCATAAATCCGGACATTTTGTGGTTATTACCAGGAATTATTGCTAAAAAGGCATTAAAAACAACAAAACAAAGTGCTCGGCAGACGACAGCCAGCATTTTTAGAAAATCTGGCCGCGAAGCATTCTGGGATGACGTCATCAGTGATTACGTAATGCCCTTTGACCCCTGACCCCTTCTGCTCCCTGCGCACGAAGGTACTTCCGGGTTTAACTGCACTTTGTAATGCCGCCAAGTTTTTGTGCGGGAAATACCCCCATCCCGAATACTGTATGTCCAGGACCCGCACACAGGGCATGTACTGCCATCCCAGATACATCCGGGACCCGCAGATTAAGGGTTAAGCTACTTACATACCAAAAATCAAGACGATCTGTCAACCGGTACCTGAATTATCCTCTTTTAAATGTAATAAAACAAATGCCCCTGCAGTTCCAGAGCTAGCCGCTAGGGGGCCAAGGGTGGGCCTGTAATTAGAAACAGACGCCCCTGCATGAAGGGTACGGCCAGACCCGCTATTCAAAACCAAAGGCCATTCCAATTTGCCTCATAAATGTAGGGGTGCATTTGAAATATTAAATTGACCGCGAGAGCAGGTACGGTAAAAATAAAAAACATGTGCATAATCACGGGCATGCATGGAGACGACATATAAAATTACATGCCGATTAAACAAAGAGCAGCTGCGAACACGAAAAAAACATCTAGCTACAATATTCCTAAAGGAGGTATACCTCCTTCACGGAGTAATAAAGCTTACAAACCTGAACAACAATAGGTTTTCGTCCCCCTCTACCTCTCGTCTTCCTTGGCAGGAAAATATCTGGGCGTTTCTAAAACAAAAGAATGCAGGACAGAAATAGGGTTAAAGACCTGCGCTGGTATTTTTCTTAGTGCATGATTTGGAATCTTTGGAATTCAGCATATCCTTCCCTACTTCTTACTTGCTATCAATGCCAGAAGATCCAAGTTCTTTATTCACAACCACTTGTTTACAAAAGGCCGAACATCTGTCATCTTCATCAGGACAATTATTACTGGTTCTCTGCACAGTGCACTGAAGCTACATGTACATGTACATGTACATGTAGGTGCTATTGTTAACAATACGAAGTAATTGTTATACTGTTACAACACAGTGAAATATACATATTGAGTATATTGAGCTTACGTAGTCCCAAATGTGAAGTATTGTCACATACATATTGTTAAACTAACAATAATAAAACAATTGTTAGGGTAGATAAAGACTTGCAGTGGTCGAAATACACATCTGCATTCTGCAGAGATTTTCAAGACTGTGGAAGAAAAACCATACAGTCTGCAATACTACTGCAGCACACTCACATTAAGAGAGTCTAACTGTGCCCTGAACTCCCTGTCTGCCTGTGTGAGCTGTACTGCTGGTCTGGTCCTGGCCGGGGCGACAGTAGTGGGCATGATGAACCCTGCACTGTCCCTCCTGATGGGGGTGGATGTGGCTGCCGGCTGGAGGGTCTAAAACAACAACAAGAAATTCCTCAGCCTAAAAAGTTCATCTGTGTTGGTATCAGAGGAGGTAGATATTTAAAAAATATAACACTTACAAACTTCAAGCTATCAAACAGCAGAATTTCTATATTATCTTACAGCAACGACTAACAGTAATCTTTTATGATTTACAGCATAACTCAAAATTCGCTCAAAACTTTACCACAGAACTTTCAGGCGCTGGTCGTCAAATCTGTTTCCGTGCCGACAACAAAGGACTTGGGGGGTTGGCATAAAAAAACAAGTCCGTAACTCCAGACAACTCTGGCAGATTTTCTCCAGTAAAGTCTCAGAATACAGTCCATAAACCCCCATATGCAACACTACGTAGGATATGGCTGTGAAAAAGATTGTCTACCGGCCCAAATTCTGCTGCAAAGTGCACAGCTTTGTCCGCTCACAAATTTCAGATAATTTGGGTGTAATACTACATGTAGGTCTCCAGGGCCCCAAATGTACAGATTTTGTCAGAAAATGCCCCCAAAAAAACAAACAAATAAAACAATTCTAAAAGCCTGTATCCAAAAATGAAGAAAAAAAAGGGCATTTGACCACTCTACCTTCATGCCAAATTTCACATCACTTGGCACAAAAATGAAGAAATTAAATGGCAGAAGGAGGAGGAGAAACATGAGAAAACACAATATGTTTCACCAAACCACGTCGTGGTGTGGTGAAGCCATAATGAATACTGGCACCAGCACACACAGTAAATGTACTTTGACTACCTTGTTGTTGGGAGGGCTTTGTGGTTTCCTGACTCCCATTCTAGAGATGGAGGGGGTGACAACCGCAGGGGGGCTCCCGACAGTCGCTCCAGGGGGGGAGTCTGGGGTCAGCTTCATTGGGGACGTCCCGACAGACACATTTTTCTGGAAAAAATTGCTAATGATTAAGAAAATCCTGAAAATCCATGCACTTAATGTAGGAAGAATTGGAGCAAGTATTTCAGATATCTATCTGCACCTAACCTGCACCTGGTCCATGTACTGGATATACAGGTATATATATAATGCGATAACGTTGGATATAGGTGTTCCGGCCCATGTGATAAATGGCGGTACTGCCCGGGGCTCTTTCTTCCCGAGATAATGGTATCTAGGGACTTCTAATGGGTTTTTTGACAAATGGACATGATTATGACTGGCATTAATATGAACATTCTTACCAAATTTTGCCCGGTCAGGCAAGTCCAGGGGGACATGTGCTTTGATGTACATGTACTTACAACTGGTACTTTTACTTGCCCGGGGCAATCGGGCAATCTAACTTGTCCAACCCTGAGGTGTAGGTGGATTTTTATTACCTTTGCCAAGAAAGTTTTGTTTTCAGTAGCATTTGTCCATTTGTTTGTCTGTGAACAGCATAACCCAAGAAGCTATGGATGGATTGTCATGAAACTTGATAGGTGGATAGGAATGATTAGATTTTGAGCCCCTGGTGGCTTTCCTTGGTACTGCAGAAGAACTTTCAGTTTTGATATCTCATATCTAGACATGCTAGCATCACAAATTTTGCATGGAAGATAGCTCTTGTGCTGCTAATTAATTAATCTTACTTTAAGACCAAGTATTACTTTATCTGGTTTGGGTTTTTCCAGTAACAATCTAAGGAATACACAAGAAATCTGTTACCTGTTTGTTACTGAGAAGGTCTAGTTCAAAAGCTGCTAGTCGGATGATCTTCCATACAGCACTCACATGTTCAACATCAACAATCTAAAATAATAAGAAAACATGTTAGTTAACATTCCTTCAAAGGAGCAGGGCAACATCTAAACTACCGGTATCACATCCCTTTTACCTATTCACTCACTCACTGTCAGGCTTTTTTTGGCGACACCTCATGGTCGAGCCTAATGATACAGTATTGTGTGCAGTTTGCAAGAATTCTAGGAATTGTACAGGAATTTTTTCCACAGGCATGGAATGTCCACAGGCATGTCTGGAATTTTGGTGACACATCTATGCCCACAGTCCTACACAGTCCAAATTCCTGGAAACCCCTGGGAAAACCTTGCTGGGGGATGACCTACATTCCTGGGCTCGTTCACTATACACTCAGGGGAGGGTAGGACTCTGGAGTGATGTACTGAACTGTGCTATATCTGTCCAAGGAGGTTGAATACAAGAGGAGACAGAACGCTGTTACATGTACCACCCCGCTATGCCTATTGTTCAGACCCGCCAGTTCCCACGGTGATCTAGTGTTTCCGCCCTTCGGCAGTGCTTGATTAATCCCGATGTTAGGTTCCGGCTTTCCCGCAAAAATCTTTGGGGAACCAAACAGATGAGCCCAATCGTGACACCATGTGCCCCGATGCAAGCCGGCGACCGCCGAGTACCACCCAAGCTTGATGAATATATACTAATATAGCTATGTCAGATGTCTTGTGTGAAAAATTCTTTCATCTTGAAGTGTGATTGAAGAATTTTCTGTGGCCTCTGATTTCTGAAGGCTGGTCACTTCTCCTATGGATCCCACAACGAGAGATTCTTGCAACCGCTCTCGATGATAGGAAAAATACTACCCATAGTTTTCTTCAGTCTCCTGAAAATCAGGCTCAAAATCACTGAAATGGCTGAACTCAAAACCATCCCACTCAACGCTGTCATTTCCTGGGCGAGCCATCTTGAAACTGACCAGGCACAATCTAGGAATTCTGCCATTCATTAAATTTCCAGCATGGAGTTTAAATATCTAGCTTCCAGTTATAAACGTATTCACCACAGTTCTCTGACCGAAAACAATGGGCCCAGCCTGTGCACATTATTCAAATTGGGACACGTGAACGTGAAGTTGAATCTTCACACCTGAGGTGAACATCGTTGAAAGGGCAGTAATCCTGTCCTGTCTCCTATGGATTTTAAACCTCCTTGATCTGTCTAGACTTAACAGGTTACACAGTACATGTACAAAATGTATACTGCCAGTGATGCACATATTACATTGTAAGATATTAGACTTTGTAATAACGATATACAATTACCAGTGTTCAGATGCAATGAAGCTGATGACTGATGATCAATGTTTATTTGTATACTTATGCTGGTGATGACATATAATATTTCATAATAACAATAGGAAAGTATTTACCTTGTTACCTTGTAAGTCTAGACAGATACAATGCAGTTCAGGGGATCACTCCCACCATCCAGAGTGCAAAGTGAACGAGCCCAGTTTCAGTTTATGATATGCTATAGGGGCCCAGTTGATGTGAATTGTTTTTTTAAATTTGTATCTGTATTAATTTGAGTGCCGAAATTACTGAATGGCTTCTGGACGCAAAATGATGACGTAAATGTGTTGAAAAGTAATAGTAAATGACGATGAAACTCAGATTTGTTAGATTCAGAATATTTGAATTATTTGCGCAAGCAAAAACTACATAATGGGCCTATAAAGTTCGCAGCTCGATGACAAATTAGGAAAAATACATGTTCCTCACACATTATTATAAATAATATCACTAACACCACCTGCGCACACTAATTCTAACATATCAATTTTATCACCAACATATATACATAACAATATATGAAAAAAACAATAAAAAACACTATAAAATCACCAATTTCTCTTGTTGCTTCAAAAATGTTGCTTGAAAATTTCATATTCTATGTTAAGTTTTTTAAATATTTGTGTGATTGTATTGTACTTCCTTTTTTCAGGAATTTTTGCATTCATGTCGAATTTCT